GTGTGTGCGCATACGAATGCCCTATATCATGCTCAATGGATTGCTGCCATTCTTTGCAGTGCCTGTGTTACTGCATCTATAGCTTTGCAATAAACGTACAACCGTTCCTGAATGGGTGTACTTTGTTGTAAGCTGTGGGTTCTGAGAGACTGCCAATAATAATAAAAGCTAAATCAGTTGAATGCGGTCCTGAATAAAACTGCCTTCGACTGCCGAAGATCAGCAGTGCCATGAGCTTAAATGTCACTGAGACACGGCAAACCTCCCTCTCCTGCATCCTTACGCCCAGCGGGTCCCAAGGGGGAAGACTGTCTGTAAAGTGCTGCCAAGTCACAGCCAATTTACGGCAATGCCTCCTAGGGTTTCTAAGGCAAGAGACGCTCAGAGGGGTTTTTGTCCTTGCCTGCCTCTGCGTAGCAACCCTGGACTTCCTTGGTGGTCTCCCATCCAAGTACAAACCAGGACTGACCCTGCTCGGCTTCCGACATCTGATGAGACCAGCCTAGCAGTGTTCCCTCTACGCTGAGTCGGTGTGAGCCAGCTCATAGTTTTTTAGCCTCCAGCTCACAGATTTTTGCCTTCGCTCAGGAAGGAGGGCCTCAAAGCACACTAATTTGTGCAGCAGCCAAATGGCTCGCTCACAACTTTCATGCCCGGAGCTCACAAAGTAGAATTTGTGCTCACAAGACTCTCCACAGCTTAGAGGGAACATTGGCCGCAGGTGCCCAGGTCCAGGGCAGAGGAAAACTAGCCGGGGGCGAAGTGGAAGCCGGGGCCTACTCCCCACTGGAACCACATCACGCACTGATTCGGAAAGAAAGATGACCCTTCAAGCACCGCTCTGAGTGTAGATTTCCGTTCAACGGCGACAGGAGGAAGGCAGCACTGACGTCTGCCCCTGAACTTGCCATGGCCTCCTCCTGGCTTCCGGGCCTGCGATTTCTGAACCCCCCCACTTGGCCTGGACTCCAGAAGGTCAAGGAGGAGGCCTCACATCTGGGGTGGCGCTTCGGCCAGATCACACACCGCAAGGAGGCAGCACCGGAGCACTGTCTGCAGTATTCCATTGCGAGAGAGAAAGTCGGAGGAAGACGTTGTGTGGCCACCAGGCGTGGGGGCGACGGCTCCAGACACCTTTGCAGCCCCTTCATTTGCACACAAGTCCCAGTGAAGGACAGAGTTCATTTCACAAGATGGGCTGCTGCCCCTCACCAAACAGCCAGCGCACAGCCTTGGTCCGGGGGAGCGGGATTCAGATTCCCCACCCAGTCGGAGAATGGGGAATCGGCCAGTGTGCCAACAGCAAGCCCCCTAGGCCAGGGCAAAGCTGGAGGCCTGATCACAAATCAACCGCTTCTTTCTGGATCAGAGTCCAGGAGCACCCGAGAGACCAACCAGGTTCTGAGGGTGTCAGCGGTCGAGAGCCACGGGTTCTCGCGTTCATACCTATTCCGCCCTTCGGTTTTTAAACCTGGAGATTCGTCCACAAAGGTCAGGGTGGCGTCCACGGGAATACGGCCTTCGTTATCCTAGTGTATCCTCACAACAATCCTGAGAGGTAGGCTAGGCAGAGGCAGACCGACTGGCCCACCGTCACCAAGGGGACTTCACGCCTGAGCAGGGACTAGAACCTGGGACTAGACCACTGGCCCCTCCCACCCAACCAGGGCTGACCAGTAGCCACCTTCTCAGGTCTCCATCGGGTCAAGCTCTGCTCTGGGGACTGAACCCGGGATCTCACATGCGCAAAAGCATGTGCGCCTCACCTCCCAGGGCAACTGCCCCGATGCAAAGGTGAGCGGCCCCTGCCCCCAGGTCAACCACCTGCCAGAAGCCAAGCGCCAGCAGCCAGCTGCAAGATCCTCTAGCTAACCGCCGCTGTACCAGGTCAGCATCCGTGAGAGCGAAGGAGACAGGCCGCCCTCCCATTCCTGGCCCAGTCTCCGGCCCCACGGGCCTGCCGGGTCCTCGCCACTGCCTGCACGCCAGACCGCAGCATATGCTCCAGTGTCATAAGGAAGGCCCTGCACCATCAGGAAGCCGCACGGAATGTAACGCATGAATTCCCGCAGGCATAACTCTCCTGCGCGACCACCAAAATGTGGCATGTGCGGGAGAATTCTTTGGTGGAGCAGGCTTTGCTTTCCCCTTGGCTGAGAGGAGGATTTTTGTATGAAGCAAAAGCTTGCTTGCTTTTTAAGCAACAGGCAGAGCTCTCTCAAGACAGTGCCAGTGCCTCTCTGTTGCATTTTGAATCCTCCCCCCCCCCCACGCCCCCATTTCTTAAGACTGACTCTGAAGGATTTAGAACACCTGAGCCCTCCTGGGCCATCTCCCAGGACAAGAGATAATTACCTGTAATCTGATTACAAGCGCCTGGCCTCCCCTCAGGGCCTCGGCACCCACATACCTGAAGCCCTTTGGGACTCTGGATCTGAGCATCAACACAGGCATGTCAGCGCATGGTGGGGGGGGAGAGAGATCCTTGTAGCCCGCCCCTGTTGACTCAGTGCCTACTTCCCCCTCGAGCACACGTGGTTTCTCACAGCTCCCCGTGGCACCCACCCCTGGCAGTGTGGCTGACGGCCTCACCTGGAGCACCAACCCATCCACGTGCAACAGAGTCACCTGAACGCGACTTCTGCAGGCGGCAGTAGAAATACTGACCTCATGGAGGTTGGCAGGAAAAATATTCTGCCCTCGGAAAACAAGCAGCTGGGTTTGGGGGAAGGGAGAGGAAGCCGGTTCCTCCCTGCCCCTATCTCCAAAACACTGTTCTGCTGAAGGGGGAAGGGGAAGCTGCAACCGGTACAAGAGACACATGGGGAGGGGTGGGGGGTTGTTCACTTCCCTGTCTGGGGCTCCATCAGCGATTGGGTCGACACTCCCAGCTCTGTGTGGCGACAAGCACTAGGAGCACAAAATCTGTCCCCAGGGAAGGCAAGAGGCAGGCCACTGGAGGCCAGGGAGTCTCCAAGGAAGGCACAGCACGGCAGGGCAGGGACGCTCTGGGAAAGTAGCCTAAAGACCGGCTGGGACCTCCCAGAGCCCCGAGTATCCCAAAGGACTCCCAGAAGACAATCAGCATCCCACAGTGGGAGCCGCATTCGTCTGCTGTAGCCCAAGCAGCAAAAGAGCCCGGTGACACTTTCAAGACAGACAGCGTTACTTTGTGAGCCAGAGCCCACACTGCCACACAGCCCTCAGAAGTGTTAAACACGATTGCTGGCGAGGCAAAACCACTTCTGCAAGGGATTCTGCACTCACACCACCTCTTGTTTAAACTGGGCTGCGACCACCCAATGCAGAACACAGGCACACGTGTGCTTCACCAACATACCAGTGCAACACCCATTTGGGCTACACATTTCTGCCATGCAAAGTGCGCAGAGCTGCTTTGCACAAATAGCAGCCCAGCTGAAATAAGGCACACGAAGCCTGGGCAGCATCATGCTTAAGTCCGGCACCTTCAGATGCTCTGTTTTCCAGGGGAGCGGGAATATTCTCCCCACAAGACCGCTTCCACCATGCACAGGGCCTGGGAACGGAAGCACTCCATCAGCCAAGTTTCTCGCTAGGCCTCCCAAGGGCATGTGCCGCACGCAGGGCCCCCAGGGGACATGAACACCCAAGAAAGGAAGGGTTCTGCACCCAAAGTGCTGCTGGAGATTCCTTCTGCAGCGTCCACCCGGATCTTCTTTGCCTTTGCTTACAGGCTGGAGCACGGTGGTCTGCTACCAGACCGGCCAGGTTTCCCCGCCCCACGGCATGGTCCCTCTCAGGCCTGGTTTATGACAATCTTCTCCCAATCCAAGCCCACTCAAGCACGGGGCACATTTTCAAAAGACCCATAAACACAGCTGCCATGCTCTTACCCCCCCCACACACACACACACCACCAGAGGGCTTTCTGGGGTCTTTTTTAAAAATTAAAAGTGGCCATCGCTGGAGCACTACAGCAAGCCCCCTGCACTGATGCTGTCGTTGTTTTCTAAAGCCCTGCGGTGCCTCAGCAGGAGAAAAATGCAGTGGAAACATTGCCAGTGGAGGGAAAGACGCAGAAAATTCCTGTGTGGACGGTCCATTGCAGAAGAGGAGCAGCGATGAATGCAAAATGGAGAATTCTCCCTCCAGCCTCACACAGTAAACACATCTTGGCGTGTTCACACCAGCAAGGTGAAAGATATGGTGCACTGGGGGTCAGCCAGAGCTTGCAAGGCTCAAGGGAGCATTTGATTCCTGGTTCTCTCCAGCCCAGAAAGCAAGAGAGGCAAGGGGGTGCGGCTGGGTAAGGTGGGCTGTTTTGTGCCCCCAAGAGAAGAGTAGGAGGGTATCCTGGTGGCAGGGAAAGTGGGGGGGGAGTCAGATAGAAATCTGAGGCAAGGAATTTAAAAAGATGTGGCAAGAAGGGTTGCGAGGGGGTGGGGGAGAGCAGGAGCTTGGGAAAGCCTCACCCAAGAGAGAGGCCAAGGAGACCCATGAGTCATCCTGGACACACAAACATGGCACAGTAGAGAGAGGCTGACATTTGGGGGGTCCAAATGGGGATATGGTGTTGCCAGCCCCTGGGAACAATTCAAGGGCAGGCAGCAAAGGGGGCAGCCCAAGGGCGGGCACAGGACGGACACACATACGGCAACTGCCACCAATATGATTTCATTAGGAAGTCACTGGTCTGGGAGGCAGACGCTCCCCACCACCACCACAAAGGAGTCCAGCAAAAACACATGGGGGGAGGGGAGGGGAGGGGGGCACTGTTTTGCACCCAGCTAGGATTGTCCAGCAAGTTGTGCGGAGCAGGGGGGGGTGTCCAAGACCAGGAGGGAGACTTTCGTGGGGGGGTGCGAGCATCCCAGTGGGAACAGACAGGAGGAAGAAGCCCCAGCTCCAGGATTTTTTTTGGGGGGGGGACTGTTACCAGATGGCAGAGAGAGGCTTCCAGTGGGTGGGGGGGCGGCTCTCCCAGCCCCCTTCCTTGGGGACCCCCCCGCGGGGCTCACCTGGGCTCGGGCAGGACGATCTTCTTGCTGGCGCGGGCGGCAGGTGAGCTCTTGCTCTTCTCCATGGCCATCAGGTAACTCACGTCGGCCAGGACCGCCTCCAGGTCGGCCATCTTGACCCAGCGGGGGCCCCCCCGGGGCGGCCCGCCTCGAGAGGATGACCCAGGAGACCCCCCCCCCCCCCCCCCCCGGCCCCCCCCCCCCCCGGCGCCCCCCCCCCCCGGTTTGGCTGACCTGTTTCCTGTTGCCGACCAGCTGAGCATCGGCAGGCAGCAGCCAAAATTGCCGAGATTTTGCCGCCTCAAGCCAGGCGCCTGGCAAGCCTGGCAGTGGAGCTTGTGGTTCAGCTGAAAACTCACACAGCCGAGGGGTGCGCCATCACAGCGGGGCTATTGTCCTCAACTGTGTCAGCCGGGGAGCATTTGTCCAGCACGCGTCTCCCTTCTAACGCAGCCTGAGACGAGGGTCACACTGGGAATGGTCTCGCCTCTCAGCGCTGACTCTGTCCTCTGCTGCAGAATGCAGGTGCACCGAGGCGCTTTGCTCCCTACTGGAGTCGTGCTTAGTGGAGGAAGATGTTTTGAGTCTCGTAATCAGAAGCCTACTGAAACAAGGAGCCCATCTCACAAATGACGTTTCCCCTTCCATAGACAAAGACGCTAAAATTTTATTAAGAGGAGTCTATCTCAAGTGTTCTGCAGGAGTTTAACTGTGGAGCGAGAATGTTTATACGTGCCATAAAAATTTGTTTTGCCAGGTTGGAGGAGGAAGATAAACGCCCCCCCCCCCACGGGGTCCAAGCACACCTCCCGGGCCCAACCGTTTCCCTGCCGGGGGGTGGGGGGTCAGAAGCCCACCGTTTCCATATAGGGTTTCCGGTGGGTGCGACTCTCCCAAAGTGTCACCGGGTCGAAGAGCTCCTCCTGCTCTCTCATCAAAGGGGCTTGCCGGAGAACGGTCGGAAATCTGGACTTTGCCTCGCTTCTAAAACAGCCTTTCCAAAAAAAGAAGGAACCACCACCACCCCCTATAAAGGTAAAGGTCTCCCTCGCTCGAAAGCCAGTCGAGTTCCTCTAGGGGTGCGGTGCTCATCTCCGTTTCCAAGCCGAAGAGCCAGCGCTGTCCGA